CTGTTGGTTGAGCGGGAGCGGCGCCAACACTGGAATTGGCCGTGGTTGGACCGGTGATAACGGAGGAAAGTTCTGCGCGTTGTTTTCCGGGACCTTCTTGCGACCGGGCTGGTTGTTGGACGAGGCCTTCTTCCGGATCTCGGCGTATTCGGCCCGCTTCGGACAGGCCTTACTCGTGGCCTTGTGGGCAGCACCGCAGTTGGCGCATGTGGGAGCGGCTTCCTCGATGCTGTCGCAGTCGTCGATCTTGTGGTTTTTGCCGCATTTGATGCAGCGGCTGGCCATGCGGCAGTTCCTGGTGCCGTGCCCGAACAATAGGCAGTTCGAGCACTGAGTGACGCCACGGTGGGTTGGCTTATACCGCTCCCACTTCACTACGATGTGGAACAGTGTGCGTGTCGTATGGAGATCCTTCACGGTTGTGGAGTTCTTCTGCAGATGGACCAAGTAGAGCTGGTCACGATACTTGATGGCCTTGCTGCGGGTCATCTTGTGGATTTCGACCGGCTTGAGGCCGTTCGCCTTAATCTCGTCCATTAAGGTGGTGGTGTCCATGTCGTGGAGCCCGCGCAGCACCACTTTCAGCGGCTTGGTGGCCTCGACGTCGTGGGAGAAGTACTCCAGCTTCATCCTGTCCAAGAGGGCCTGGACTGCGTTGTAGTGATTTTCGGCCGAGACCATCAGTTTGTAGCCTTCCGTGCACCGTTGAATGGTGCAGCGAAGGCCCTGCTTAATGTAGAAATCCAGCTGCTCCCATAGCCCGGGAGGGAAGCCCTTCACATAGAAGGGTGGCAACTTAACTTTTTTAGGCACCGTCTCAGGGTCCGACTGCGGCTGGGCTCCGTTCTGCAGGGCGGAGAACGGATTGTTGCTCAGCAGCTTTTTTGCTGCCGATGCGGTGGCGCTGATGTCTTCAGGTCTGGGTCGTTTAGTTCCGGGAGGTCCCGGCTGCGGGTCCGCAACGCCTGTCGGGACGGGCAATGGGGTTTTCTTCTGCTTCTTCTGAGCTGGCTCGGTGATCGCGCCGTCTCCTGGGAGAGTCTGTTTTCCCGGTAAGCCGGCACTCGCGTTACCGCGCGATTTCTTACCCATGGCTGGGTCAGCGAGAGCGTCACTATACAACGCGGAGCTAATTCGACTTGCGAACGAACGAACGAAACTAGAGAGAATTCAAATCGACTGAACTGCTCAACAGTCTGGCAGCGAATGATGATGACACCTGTTTGTGAGTTGATACCAGACAGCAGCGTTGCTTTATATTTTTTTAGGTTAAAGCAGAATAATGTGCAACCAAGTGGTATAAAAGCTACAAAGACTCCTCCCATTATGAGTAGTTTGCTATCAAGTAGCGACACTGGCTATTTTCTTTTTGCGTACACGGCGAATGAGAACGACCCAAATTTGAGTTTAGTTCACTCATAATCGCCAAAAGTGTAGGAACTCAGCGATGAGTAAATTTGTCTCATGATTTCGTGTGGAAAACCTCAAAAATCTGCCAGAAAATGAGGAAATTGACGAAAATTTTATTCAGTCTCGGAGTAGTACCAATAGACTGACTGAATCCAATCTTTACTTTTCTCAAATTCGGGAATTTTTCCCTGGAAAACCTGGGAAAAAATAAGGCAAACTTACTCATCGCTGAGTTCCTGCACTTTATTTCTTATTTCTGAGATAACTAAACTCAAATTTTGGGTCGTTCTCATTCGCCGTGATAGATATTGGCGCCGGTGGTTAGCGTGATTACCTTTCACCCCAGCAGGCCTGGGTCCAATCTCAGTCGGCGCCACCGGCATGTTCTAAGGCATAACATCTCTGGGAGCTGCCTCCCTGGCGTCGGTAGCATTAGAGCTCAGTACGGAAAACAAATCTCGCGTCACTTTTCAATAGGTCCTATCTACATTGATCGATTCTCTTCATCGACAATCTCTTTCGTAAATATTCGACTTCACAAATGTGGATCAACAATGGAAAAGAGCCCATCAGTATTTGTAAACAAACCGTTCCAAAGCCCTTTACTCACAAAGCGAAGGCCACCCACACAAACCAACACCATCATCGGATAGGGGAAACTTCTACCTACAAGATGTTGGTGTTGGTTTGTGTGAGCGGCCTTCGATTTGTGAGGCTTTGGAACGGTTTGTTTACAAATGCTGATGGGCCCTATTCTATTGTTGATCCAGAAATGTTTCCTGCCGTCTTCGTCGAATTAGATGCTAGATTGTTGCTTCTTACTTCGAAAATATCCGGCCGTGGCGATTCAAAGTTGATCAAGGTTGATCAAAATAATTTGTATCCCTGCTTCCAGTTTGATAACATGAGCATTTTGTGTGGTCGGTGGTTCTGAATATGGACAAACAGGCAGATGAATTCTATTCCTACTCTTTTCTGTAATAAGATTGGTGGCCCTGAAAAGAGCCGTTTTGTTTCCAATGTTGGTGATGATTTACCTCCGAAACCAAACAGAGTGCGTCTCTGTCGCTTCAAAAACGTAGATGACATCCATGGCCGCTTACGCTTGGCGTGTTTAGTGTAGGTGACAGCATCACGGATCTCATTTTTCAGGAACACCTTCAGCACACCTCGTAAATCAAACCGTAGATACGTCAGACACCGCCACGGCGAGCCAGACGACGGATGGTGGTTATCTCGAAGAATTTGCGTTTGTTTCTGAACATGGCTCCCTATTCGCACGCGCCCGAGGATCGGAGGCGAATGCCACTTCGACTTGTTTCGTAGGTAATTGGTGGATTTGTTAGTTAATTCGACGCTTTTGGACAATGCTGAACATTTACCAGTTTTTCAATAGTTTCTTGTTGAAAATCAACATTCGGAAGCATTTTTATCAATGCGTAGCCATATTACTGACCGATTGGTGATAAAGTTATTGAAATTGGACCAGGGGCAGCTGAGTTATTAACGTTCAAAATCTTTCTTAATTTGTTACATGTTCCATTTTCGGTTTTCACAAAGTGTACCCCCATATAGAAATCAAAGACGTAGTCCTACGTCAAAAATTTGCTTCTATCTTTGACAATACAGCAGAAGGAGTAGCCTATGTTGGCCGCTTGAACACTGGATTCCGTATGTATTGTTTCAAGATAGTTATAGAAAAAATGCTGTGACGTGTGCGCGTAGATACATCCCCGTAGTAAACCAATTGAATTAGTAAATCCGTTTCTAACGAAATATCTAAATTATGTAAGTTCCGAAAACCGCGCGAATTCCGAAAGCCGTGCAAGACAACCGAAGCGAGAAAAAAAGGCTTATTATCATTTAAAGAGTGCCACCAAAATAAATGTAATAGCCTATGCAAAGCAAGACCATGCTGGAGGTGGCTGGGTTCGATTCCCGGTCCGGTCTAGGAATTTTTCGGGTTGGAAAATTTCTCGGGTATGATTGTTCTTGCCACACAATTATACTAATGCAAAAATGGTACAGGCATCGAAAGCTCTCAATTAACAACTGTGGAAGTGCATCTAGAACACTAGGTTGATAGCACGCAATAAACTAAAATGCGATAAGCACTAAGCTTGAAATGCGAAGAAGAAGAAGAAGAAGAAGAAGAAGAAGAAGAAGAATACGGTTGACAACTTTTGTTAACTGTAAATTTAACTACCTTATTGTTGTTCACCATACGATGCAATTCATTTTAGTGTACTCAGTTATGACTAAAATGGTAAGGGTTCGAAAAGTCACAGAAATGTTTTGTAGCTGCCACATTTCGTCGATACAGTCTTAATATGCATAAAAAACGCAATACGATTTTAAATTTAAACTCAAAATCCTCAAACATTTCCAATTTATGTTTAATTTATCTCACTTGACTCAACAAATCGTGTTCTTGCTAATTCTTGCTAATAACGGGTGTTGCCAAAATCGGAGGTGGACTGAAGTAAAGTCCTCCAATTGAAAGTATGGTCGTCTGTTAAAAGTCGTTCCAATATAATCGTCAAAATGCACTGCTTTGCTCGTTTGGAAAAATTGGAAAAAAGGGGAAGGCACATTTCTAGAATAACGATATAAACTAAACGGTACAGAAGGGATTGACCGCTTCCATGCTATGGTCGCTCTACCGTAAAATTCTAAAACTATATAAAGATTCAGCACGTATTACCAAGCTTTTATGCTACAAATGCTTCTTCGAGCTTTCGCCTAATTTAAGAAGCTTTTTCTTAACACGCTTCGATTTCCGACCGCTAGATGTCTATCAACTACACGAACGATAAGATCGACTCTAAATTGAGTTTAATTCGAATCAATTAAGCAAAAAATGGATTTGACCACAAAGTGATTAAAATTTTCCCAGCATTTTCAAGAAAATTGAAGAAAAATCGATGAAAATTGTTACTCAGTCTAGGACGATAATAGACCGAATTAAAACTTTCTCGATTTTCATCACATTCGAGAAGTTTTTTTTCCTGTAATAACTCGGAAAATGCTACTCACTTTGTGAGCAAATCCACTTTTGTCTAAATTGAGTTGAATTCAACTCAATTTTCAGTCGATCTCAACGCCCGTATATTCGTCCCAACCGGAGGATCGGCTACTGGGTGTGACCGAGCACTAATACCATCAATGCCTGAATTTACAACAGGGCTGATATTTTCGTTTGCTCTCTTTCCAAACCACTCTTTGTTTACTCGCTTTTCCTCTTTCGCTACCGCGTGTTGTACCTTAACTTAAGGTATTACTCTCGTGCGACTGTAATGGTGTCTCCGTGCTCGCATATTTTCCTCTCTCGCTCCCGGCATTTCTGCATCGTCCAACGACGTCTACTACCTTCTGGAGTGTGCTTCTTGGCTGCGGATCTCGCTCCGCTCTGTATTGGTTCCATGTTTTGAACACCACCGTTTGCATATGGACATGGACGGGCGATGACGTTGTTAAGGCAAAAGTCCTACGCGCGCTCGTTCGGAGAGAAGGAGAGCCCAACTAAAACCAGTCTCGCGCAAATACAACACAACCCAAAAGCCAAAACCCAGACGGACGGGTTGTTCTGGCTGCAGCCGCCGCCGTTCGAATCAGTAGTCGTACGGAAACTCTCCAAACGGGTTCACCGCGCGTCCGTTGTTGTGTTGTGTGTCACGGTTCTGTCTGCTCTGTCCTCTTGCGCCGACGGGAGGGTCACCCGCGTGTGTGGTGTGTGTTCTTTGCACTGGCTGTGAAACCGTTCTTTGCACGGGGTCCCCCTTCTGGCGAGAAGCGGGCATCTACTACTGTCCAATCCGTCAATCGGTGTTGATTTTCTGCCGGGTTTGTGTACGGAAATTGGCCAATTTGTAGCCAAGGGGTAGTGTTGCGCCACTCGGCGGACCCCTTTGCCAGGGTCCTCAGTGCGAATTTTTGCGAAAAAGGTGCAGTTGTGGTTGGTCGGGTGATCTGGTTTTTCGGTCGCAACAGTGGGCGCAAATGAGTGAGTCCTGAGAAGAATTCGCAACAGGCGAGGAGAGTTTTGTGCGAAGGTGAAGTTTGTTTGAATTTGAATACCTATTAGTGAGGAAAAACCTTTATCGCCTACTGATTTTGATTCGAGTGAGCAGATAAAAGGGGAGGAAAATTTAGTGCTCATTCTCGGGTTCCTACGGTTGGAGGGTGCATTTTCTGCCAGGAAAGAGTCGGCTCGGAATCAGCCGGAGTGCTTGATGAAAAAGAACCAGGAGCATCTGTGAGTGTGTATAAGTGCGTGTTTCGCTCGCATGTTCTTCTGCGGCGTGGATGCAAAAGGGAGAAAATGAAAACAAAGTAGAACCAGTGTCGAGAAAGATTCTATCAGCATCGTCGCCGTCGTCTTCGTCCTCCTAGGAAGGATATTCGCCAGAGCGCAAAGGAAGCGATGTGAATGAATTTATCGTCGGCGGAAGATAGGGAGCAAATAACGTCAAACAAGAAGAAAAAAATGTGGGAAAATGTGAATGATAAATGATTATAATCGGCAGTGAGTTAAATTTCAAGGCGAAGATTATCGATTTGTAACCGGTCTGTCGGTGTGTGAGTGCGTGAGTGATTGTTATTTAATCGAATCGTAGCAGGTGATAAGAGCGACCCAGCTGCTCCTCATTCGAGGAGGAAGAGAAAGCTTTAGTCTTTTTCGTGCGTGAAAAAGTGTGAAATTTTCGCAAACCTAATTTTGTCAAAATGTGCGACAGTGAGTGTGTGGTTAGCTCCACTGGAGGAGCCAATGGCAACAACAACAACAATACCAATGGTACGCCCTCTACCAATGGTTTGCTGGTAGAGGCTATCAATCCGGTGATTCACATGGCCAGTTCCCTGTCGGCACCGTCGATGCAGCAGCAAATTCAGCAACAGCAAAAGCTGCAACAGAATGAGTTCATCTCCGCTCAGGATCTGGCCATGGAAAATCTCTGGCTGAGGGAAAAGCTGAAGGAAGTCACGTCCGATCGGGATCGGCTTCTGTGTGAGGTGGCCAATCTACGGCTGGAGCTGGATATGGCGGAACTCAAGCGGCTTCCGGAAGACAGGTGGGTTATGGTCATTATTCAAACGGTCCGGATAGTCTTGTCTAGCATGTCTTAATCTATGGGTCAAGGCCCGCTGTCAGTAGATCAGAGGCAGCCCTCAGGTGGGTGGCAAAAATTCAGACAACTTGGTCATGTTTTTCAAATTTCATGCAATGTACAGGGTGCGTGACGAATTTTTGCAGTAAATGGCATATTTGAGAAAAAATACACTAGTTAGTTATTCTAGCAATGAATTTTGTGCGATTTATTTTCTTTCGCAACATATTCAAAAAAATTGCCTTCCCTTTCGACGACTGTAGTTAGACGCTTCCGGAAACTGCAGTATGCACGTTTTAAAATGTTTCGATCAATAGATGTCATCACTGCCTTGATTTTAGCTTTTAGCGACTTAAGTGTGGTGTGAGGGGCTCTATTGGTATCCCGTTGGACGACGCCCTATACAAAATAATCCAACGGATTGATATCGGGACTGCTTGGGGGCCAAATTTCTTCCTCCCAAATTTACGAAATATTTTCCGTAAGCCATTTCTGTGCTTTATTAGCAGTATGAGCAGGTGCTCCGTCTTATCACTTTCCCAAGCCTTTATTAATATTATTCACTGTTCTTTCAGACACATTTACCGACCGAATTATTTCTTTCATGCATACTCCGGCGCGCAACAAAGAGACAACGGCTGACAGATTGCTCTCTTGTTTCGACATCTTTACGTTTACTCAACATTGTTTGTTTAAATCTTACACCTAACAGTATAAGCTATCGAGTGCTGCCAAATATATCTAAATCATGATGCACAAGCATGAGAAATTACTATTTGAAATTTACTGCGAAAATTCGTCACGCACCCTGTATAGTTGAATTTAAAATTATGTTGAGTTATAATTAAAACCTGATTCAAAACCAATTGGGATTTCCACCACCATATTTTCGATACATGGGTTATTTAGACATTTTCAAGATTGTTTCGGCGTTTTAGAGGCTGTGCTATCAGGAACTTCTGATACAAGTTCAAGTTTTTTTTTTTTCATCAGGAGCGCGTGGATATGAATTCTGGTCCACCCGGGGGCGCCAGGGGGAGGTAGCTCATCGATTCTTCCGGTTCGCCTCCTAGCATCGTGCTATAAGGTACCAGGCGATAACCAGGGTAGTTGATCGATAGCTCGATGACGTCATTTCGTTGACGTCTGCAATGGGAAATTCTCATAGCAGGCGTTGACGATGGGACGTTGTCGAGTTGTTGAATAGTAATTATCGTGGTAACTCACCGATTACCTGTCGATCTGCCAAATTTGGAAAGACGTCTGCATTGAATTGTCTCATATAATAATATTCCGCCCACTATATCACAAGAAATTGCGAGTAGTTGAGTGGAATGGAGATAAGTTAAGCATTGGGTACAGGACCAAGTCTCCCCTGGGTGGTGCCAAAAGATGAGCGCAATAGAATCATCAAGTTGCCATAAGGCACGGAATGAGACTATTGCATGGCTGGGTTGTCAAAGTCTTCCATTCGTTAGTCATTTCAGGTGGATTAGAACAGGTTTGGATTTTTCAGATATAATCTTAAATAGGACCTAGATTATCTAATACACTAGTAACCTCAACTTCTGTCACAATGTTTAATTGTGACTAATCAACACTCAATCGGTAAAATTTCAAGTTTGCGGTAAATTTGAAAAAAAAGGGAACTTGGAGTGTAGAGTGCACTGCCCACTGGACGATTCTGAAGCCTGACCAAGTGAGTGGGTTACGGGTTTATTTGATTGTACGTCATTTCCAAGTTACATAGATACATTCATACCATTGGCATTTTGTATTTGAGATAAGACAGAGACAGGATGCGGAGGGCCCGCTTAGGGGGAGCGTAACCCATGTTATGGTTTCCAATTATTAAATAGTTCAGATAGGCTGGAAATGATAGGTTCATGGTGAGAAAATGTACCATATGGTGCCCGTTCACTGATCAAAATTAGATTCAAATCGTCAGGCCCTGCCCTGGAATAAGGGAATTGACGATGATTTGTCAAGTTTCATTTTGCATTTGCATATAATTGTAAGTTTAGGTTTGCTTTTGTAATTGTAAGATAGATAGTTTGCCTCAATTGAAACATTGAGTTAAACATGACGAATCATACCTCTAAAATAGTAGTAGTTACAGTGCCGCATTATCTAACTTTTGTTTTGTTTGTTTACATATAACTAATACTAATACCTCCTTGTTTTCTCTCTAATTTGTCTACTATGTCCCACCATCACGATGAGAGATGAGCTACCGTACATGGTACACGCTCATATACACTCCCAAAATAGTATGCCGCAAGTAAGTATATCACAGAGGCAACTAAAGATCTAGAAACAAAAACCGAAAACGCTGAACGGCAGATTGGTTTACAGTGGTCGACCAGGGTGTGTGCTGATAAATTACAAAATTATAATTACATCATTATTTCATACATCAGCTTGAATTGCGTTGATCGATATTACATTTTTTTTGCTGTGCACTACACCACCGGAGCCAGCAAAGTTCAACAATCCATCGTTGCTTATGCCTTTGTTGTCGTTTGGAACCAGTTTTGCGAGGTAGGTGACGATTGTGCGTATTTCTCGCGTAAATTTTGAAAAGGGCCTAGCCTGAACAATACGTAAAGAGCAAATTGAAACATTGTACGTCGCGTGAAAGTGGAACTTAATGAAGGCCTAAGTACTTTTTCGTATCCTGATGAATGTGGGCGTCTTAGTGGAATACCTGTATAATGAGAGAGAGAAGGATTAGTATTTTCCATTTAATTCCACTACTTTATTTGCTTATCCTTGACAGATACGCGTATTTCGTCTACAATGTGCAGACTTCTTCAGTGTCTTGTACTAATACTCGACTGTTAGTACAAGACACTGAAGAAGTCTGCACATTGTAGACGAAATACGCGTATCTGTCAAGGATAAGCAAATAAAGTAGTGGAATTAAATGGAAAATACTAATCCTTCTCTCTCTCATTATACTTTTTCGTAGTTTTTAGTTTTCGGATTTGAAAGATCGTCGGTTACAATGGCCTGCTTACTGAGCAGAAAAACGCGGTCCCAGGTCCTTACATATCACAGAGATTTATGGTAAAATCGCTTGTGTATCGTGTATTTTGCGAAACTCGTTGTTGTCGTTGGTTCCGGGTTTGAATGGATACACAAATTTGAGCAACGGTATTATGTGATATGAGGGGCTCGGTGGCCTTAGAGCAACCGTTTTTGCTTACTGAGCAGAACATCATGAGTCTAATCTCAGGCCCATCCACATTCAAGATTCGTCAATCGTTTTATCTGTTAATACGACTACATGGTAATAACAGCAACTCGGTGATTAAAAAGGTGCTCGTCTGCCTAGTGGCAAACGTTTTTGCTTTCTGAGCAGAAGACCGTGGGTTTAGTCCCAAGCTCCTTCGCGTTATATGATCGTTAGGAAATCAATTCAGCTTATCGTTTACCAAAACGAACCCTGCTGCAAACCCAATCCTCTTATCCAACATCCCAGTGATTCCTCGTGGAAGTGCAGAGGTGTTCTCGGCTTCCATCAAAGCGAGTGTCATGTCAACACAATCCTTCCCATTCCTTTCTTGACCTGTGTTCGGGCGCGGCCGGCGCTGGTATTGCCTAATTTAAGATCACCAGTTTTTACACATTGAGGATGATTGCTAGTCCCAAGCATCGTCTATTGGTTCTCTGTGTAATTACAGCTGATCTGGCAATAACAGAGTAGCAACCGTGGGCGGTCAATCAAGCTCAATCAAGCTCAAGCTCAAGCTCAAGGAGCGCGTGGATATGAATTCTGATTGGAGTGTGTTCCAAAGTTCATTTGTACCGTTCAGAATAGTTTGTGAATCCAATGCAAAAATAGTTTTGCAAAACCCAACTCCATCTTCACCTCGCTACTGTCGCCCAATCTGCATTAGGTTTATCAAGGAATCATCTGAGGTAATTAATGAAGCGATCGGATACAGCTGTGTTCGATAAAATAGCAGCGCATGCCGATTTTCATACAAATGGTCAACTTTGACATTATGTAACTTTGTTAACTTATGATCAATTGAGCTGAAACGTTCGCCAAATAACTACACAGTTTCAAGCTTATTCGATGGAAAATCAGCAGTTAAAAAAGTTAGGGTAATGCGCATAAGCTATTGGAGACATATAGAGAAGACCAGAAAGACATCCACTGAAAATAGCAAAAAAAAAACTCAAATTTTCTTGGAAAAAAAGAGGTAGGCCAGCAAAAACATGGAATGACAGAAGATAAGGAGAAATTACCTGAGATAACAGAAGAACAATGGTTAGAGTTGGTTAAGGACAAGGAGAAGTTAAAAAACAGGCAGAGGAAATTTATAAACTATAGGAAGCAAAGAAGAGTCAGAATCAGATGTAGAAGACTAGAGAATCTCAAAGACTAAAAATAAAATAAGAGAAGGATTAAAAGAAAGACAAAAGCTCTTAATAAAGGGGGAGAAAACAGGTTTGTTATTTATGGATAATTGTTTGGAGAAGATTAAATGGAATAAACAAATAAAAAGTGACATAACAGCAAGTAACACCAGAATAAAATATATTTAATCAAAAAAGAAAAACATTAAACAAATAGAGTACCATACATTAAAAACATATTCAGTTTGACTACAAATATGTTTATTAAAGGTTACAATATTCAAAAAGAGATACGAAAAACATCGAAAAGTTATAGAGAAAGAGAGAGAAGAATATTCCACTACAGATGCCGATTATTCAACAGGATTCAACGAGAATCGAGATGACAAAGATTCAGCAGCAAGGACACAATACATACGCGGTGAGATCCCACTGATTACAACTAAATATAAAAATATGAAATGCATCCTACTAAATACATGCCATCTAAATACAAAGCATGAATTGCTTTGATGATGGAAGTGTACACGCAGTACGAATATACATTTTATATCGGTACTACGTGTATAAAGTAACCTCGGAATGGACGTGACTGA